GGGCATAGAGAATGCAATCACCTACGACCACACACACAGTAACACTTACACTCATATTCACATCCATAGTCACATCGACACTCGAGCCCTTATTGGCATACACACCCGCATCTTAATCGATTCTATTGAAATTTCAAGATTAATGTTTCGCATCAATCCGATCAAACGATTCGACGAAAAGAGAATTTTCTTGTCAGATTTAGTGCATCTCAATAACTGACAGACAAGTTTTATTTCCATCACACGAGAAATGTGAGTCGGCAACAAAAGTAAAGTGTAACAAATGAAGGAAGGATCGGCTATGCCTTTTTGACTGAAACGATGAATCAGTCTTTCAATGTGACAATCTATATTCGAATTGGATTCTTTGATTCATTCATGGCAATTAAGTTCAATCTAGTAGATAAAACAACTTTGAGAATATTGATTGAAATGAAACAATCAATCGAGATCCAATCGATTCCTGCAAATCAGTTGAATTCGAGAGAATTTTGACAAAACTCTTTCGAACAACAATCAAATTAAGGAAAGGATTGCATTCAATAGAAAAAGTTTTTTTTAAAATATAGCATCAGTTTGACGATATAATACGATTGAATCTTTTTGCCCAAACAATTCCTGTACCGAGAAAGTCTTGGACAAATGTCAATCGATTCGGATATTTAGTATCAAAGTGAATGTTGTCATCTCTATTAGGATTATCATGATATTTGTTGTCGATAACTACAAATTTCTGTTTTATATCTTCAATGTCCTTGAAATTTCGTCGTAAATCATCGACCTATATAATTGAATAGAAATGCTCGAGTGCTTGTCTCTTTGTCATATCAATCAATAAGAAATCCTTGAGAACGAAACTTTTCCAAACGATGTTAAGCAAAACGAGTAAGCATTGGTATGACACATACGAGTTTATAGATAGTTTCATATAACAAATAGATGCTTATAAAACTTCATTATGCATAGATATGGTTCGCTAACTCTCGATATCCCATTTCGCATTGAATTGAGTGCATTTTTTAAGAATAAAATCAATATTATACATCGTAGTAATCTACGACAGGAACTAAAATGACTTTTTTGTATATGATAGAGATGAGTAATGATGGAATATAGCGAACTGAAAATAAGACAAAACTTCACGCTACTTATAAGATACCCATTAAACGAAACGATAATGAATTATTTTCCAAATGTTTTCTCGAAAATCGGTCGAAACGTTATGTGATAGTCCAATAAAACATAATCACAACCAAGTGCAATCACAAGCTTCTTTTTATCATTCATAACTATGTAGTGAGTGATCACTTGTGATTGTTGATTTGTGAATAAGAAAAAAAGAAAAGAATAAAGTAATCAATGGCTTAATTGATTGTATTTTTTATATGAGTATAGTAACGACTTTACACATCATACAGGATGATGACATTTGTTCTTCAAAATACGATAAATATCGATATTTAACATCCTTCGTACATAAGTTTTGCCTATTGTATTCATACAAATAAATGAGATTGTATTCGTTTATATTAATATCAAATATGCACTGTCATCTACAGATTGTGAAGTTTTGTTCTGTTTTTTTTTTGTACAAAACTTTGACTAAGACAGAATTTTGGTATTTTTCACCCTTGTTTTTTTCTGCACAATTATAACAAATGACATTACTACTTGTTCCCTATAGGGTTCTGTTAGTTAACAAAAAAGATGTCAACAATTGTTCATTTAATGGATTATCATTAGCGCTAGTGATAATTAATCATTCCAAAGATCAGTGCCTAGTCTTGCTTCATTATATTGACATAAAGAAAAAGAAAATCCATAGATTATTTATAACGTTCGGATTTTATTTTGGTTGAACAAAACATCATATCGCAAAATCAGATCTATTTTTTATTATATAGAGATCATAATGTCTGAAATAACATTTCAACAAGTATCAGACGATTTTATTTTGATAGCATAATTTAATATCAAAAGTCAGTTGATAAAATTATATTCAGCATACTATAATAAATTTTGACATGATGGAATATTCTGATGTATTTTCTCTCATGGAAATAGTCTTTGACATCGTGAAAAAACGTTTGATTTACGTAAAAGAAAACTGTAATATGATGTACTTTTAAAATGACACGGTAGTCTTCACTTCATATTGATACTGGTTGAATGAATGGGGAATGATGAAAATTATCTTGATCGAGAATAACTAATCAATTTGTTGAATAATTGTAAACTTAATTAATTTATGAATATTAATTAGTTAAATTTTCAATTTGACAAAGTAATTATTGATTATATTGAATTAGAATAATTCGAATAAAATTTTGTTATTCTTTTTTTTAATTCTTGAATCAAAAATAGGATAAAAAGAAAAGATATTAAACAAATAAATAAAATAAAAGTCGATGATCTTTAAGCAGTATGAATTCATTTAATAAAATTAACAATAAACTTGCAAGAAAAAATATAAAACTCGAAGTTGTATTTGATAATTTATAATTTAAAATAAAATTTATTTCTTTAATTCTTTGATAACAAAAAAATGTATATAGAAGTTTTGAACTTTTGAGCAGATTGCAACTTGTACGAGCATCTATCTTCACTAAGTTATAACAGTATTCTCTCTTTTCGTTAATCTTCTAGTATCACACAACATTATCATGTGATAGAATTATGCATTTACACCAAGGAGAAACAAGGAGTATGGAAGAACTCGAGAATCTATCGAATCTTGATACCAAAAATGTTTAAGAACAACATGAAATGAAATAGAATTGCATAATATCTGGTGGAATCCCAGAACTATTATTGTTCAATGAAACTGTTGTTACTACTAAAGTTCTAATGCTACAGATTATCAGATGTTAGATTTTATGAAATCTGTATTATGATATCGGATTTTAAAGTTCTTCATGGAACTACCTATAGGATTCTATAAGATTCTGCATCATTCTACTTGACTATGCAATTCTAGAGTCTTATGGAGTTTGATGATTCTTCACGAAATATACTGTTTCTCGTGGGATATACGTTCTATATTAGATTTTTATGAAAAAAAAGATCACAATTCTTGCATCTCTTCGAAAAAAACTTTATTGCCGAAGGCTTAAGGATGTCAAATTGATTTAAAGTATTAATAACTAATTATGTTAATTGTTCATTTGTTTAAATAATTAGTTGAGGTTGTGTGGTTTTAATGAAATTGTTTCTGAGAGTAAGGCATTTTCGAAGGATTCAAAACAAAGAGTTTTGATCTGAAGTTTTTCCTATAGACACGTTCAATAGTAATTAAATACTCCTGCAAGTTTCCATGGGAAAGAACACATCTTTCTTGAGATATTCGATCTCGAAGTAGACTCAATCATTGTGCCTGCCTCTTGTAAACTGTTGCTTTTTTTGCACATTAAATACTTCGAGAAAGACATGACTATTAAACATGTCTATTTTAAGTTTTTCAGAAGTGTCTTGCTCTCAGGAACCATTTTCAGAATGATCTAAACACTGTTAGTATTGATTTTTTCATTCTCGCAAAAGTTCTCTTTTTAAGTCGCTTGTCACCAGACAACAATAGCAACGAATAACGATGTTTCTTTGAAATTTTAGATCATCGATTGTTCATTTCACGATTCAATGAATATTATCTGCTTAGTTCAAATAGTTATAGTAGATAACATGATTGGAACCGGAAACTACTAGATCTGCAGAAATTACAAAATGTGCAATGTTCTATCTCAAACAGTATCTGGCGGTGAGATATTCTGTAAAAATGAGCAACAAAATTGACAGCATGCTTTCAGACATGTCCAACAAAGCGTTAATGCGGTAAGAATCGAGGATTTTCTTTATATTAATTCATCGTCTGTCGTCTGAACACACACAAAAATTAAGTCCTGTATTCATCAACGACATCAAATCGGTAACTATTGATATTCTCCTATCTCTTTGCAAAACTCTATATTCAAACATCTGAATAAATATGGTGTCTTTGATTTATATTGCTCAACAATATACACTATACGTTGGCTTTGTTCTTTTTCTAATGGGTGTTTTTGGCAATATCATGATTCTATTGATATTTTCAATGGATCGTCAATATCGTACAACACCATGTACATTCTATTTTCTCATTGGTACTGTGCATGATCTGCTTCTTATTCTAATTGTTCTTGGCTTACGCTTAGTAACTGTTGGTTTTGGTATCGATTTGACTCGAATATCAGTTGTATGGTGTAAGGCTCGATACTACTTTTTCTGTACTTGGGCTGGCATATTGTTAACTTGTCAATGCTTAGCAACACTTGATCAATTTCTTGTCACATCAAAAAATGCTCGTCTTCGTCGTTTGAGCACTATAAAAGGCGCTCATCGAGCTGTTGTTGTTACCCTTATTGTCTGGTGGGGACAATGTATACCATGGTTGATCTATCAAAATATATCACCCATCAATGGCGCATGCATATATATCAATCCAATTTTTCTTCGTTACGTCATCTTTTTTGGTTTGGTTAGTATTAGCTTGGTTCCAAGTGTGTTCCTGACCATATTCGGATTTTTAGCTTATAGAAATATATCGCAAACGACGACTCTCAATCAACAAAATGCACATCGTCAAATGACGATCATGGTTTGTATGCAAATCTTTCCAGTTGTTTTGAGTGGAATATTTAATGGTGGGTGGAATATCTACACATTTGTTACTTATGAAATGGTGAAGGATGATAATCTATTATCTAAAGAATATTTGATTCAATCAACAATTGCTCTCTTGGCATATTTGGGAAGTTCTGTAAGTGTTTGAAATATATGAAGTAAAAGAAAATGATATAATCTGTCTTTTATATTTGAATAGGCAAGATTCTATTTATTCTTGATTGCTTCGAGTCGGTTTCGTCAAGTGACTAAACGATGGATCTGTTGGTGTCGAGCACACGCTCAAGTTATTCCCAATGCCAATTTAGTTATGATGGCACGCGACTGAGAGAATGACTCAACGCATTAAATTACTTGCGATTGATTATATATATTTGCTTATTTCTTATTATAATAAAAAACTCCTTTCGTTCCTATTCCAATTTAGAAGAATTTTTTCCAGTTTCCACTAGCACAGTCGACAAGATATCATCGAAGATCAATAGTAATTACTCATTTGTGATTCGAGAATCTACTCTACATTGATAAGCAATAAGGAGAACTCTCACTGACAGATCTGTTTCTGTTTTACTCGAAACTGTATCGATTGATGACAAATGATCAGAGTTCAGTTTAGTGAGTCGTTCGGGTTCATTATTAAGATTCTTGGTGAATGATAATATGTCGGGATTTTACAAAAAGCTACAAAATATTCTAACAGGATTATTTGCCATAAAAACTGAATAGACTTCAACTACAGTACAAATTATCTCGTTAAATTTTCTTTATTGGGCAGACAGTTGATTTGAAATACTCTGTGTGTAGCATCGAAAATGCGAATATCAAATACAATCTCCGATATCGATTTTGAACAAGTGCAGATGACTAGCACTGATTGATTGATGTTTAATTGTTAAGAACGAATGATAAATTATATTCTGGCTTCAACACATTCTCACATTCTTCATCCAATAACATGCATCACGGTCGAACAACTTCACTGCATATTACAATCTGACAAATCACTGATGAACAAGGCTCTCATGATGGAAGAGTATGTTCACTATTTTAAGAAAGAATTCTGTCCAAAACTATCAGGCTACATTTCAATGCTTACTTATGAGTCAAGTGAGAAGCGATGCGTTCTAATTCATGTCTGGATCATCATTTCTTGTAAAAAAAAAAATGAAGAGCAGCAAGTGGAAGATAATGCAATTGACACTCCTAGATTAGAAACAATGCTAGAATAGAAAAAAAATGAGGATAATGATAACAAGCCTTCCTTTCGACAAATAATTATATGTAACAAGCTTGATATTCAGTTCAACTTTTTGAATTTCGAGAGTGCCACAAATCATTGATACACATATGACTTGAATGAGGGTAACAAGTAAGACGGAAAAACTGAGAGAAGCTGTGTACATCGTAATATTAAACTACTTCTGAGAACCAGATCACACATGTTGAAAAAGGCCAAAAAATCGAAAAACTAAATTGAGTTTTCGTCTTCCACAATACTCTTTTTCTATGCACTTGAACCTGAATGTCATCTATTTGATGCATGCAATGGCGCCTTAGGTAAATATCGTCAAAGTTGGTATAGAAAATAAGATGGATTCGGTAATTCAACATTAACAAAACAAAAAGTATTAAAACAGATCATATATTAATGCGAACTATCCTATAAACATAATGTTGCTCCAATTGCATAATCGATCAGCTGCCTATGGAATGATGACCATTATGAAAAGGTGTAGGTGTGAACAAAGGTTATCCGAGAACATCATCGGCAGCCACATGTACACGCACACACTTATCCCGTTCTGTTACGTAACTGAAGTGAGAAAAATTACTTGCTAAACGCTTCGATAAATGTTTAACCATCGAATTACGACGAGAGTGAAAAAGAAAGAAGTATGAATCTCATCTTGATTCAATATGGCTCATCTTCTACACATTGCATCGATGTTACTTGTTGATCGAAAATCCTAAGAAAAATTTTCTTTGTGTTGTTGTATGAGTAGAAAGAAAGATTTTTCATTTTTTTTTCATGCCATAACGTGGGAATGAATTCACTATGTTTTTTTTTTCGAAAATGACATGAGATGATTTCTAATTTTTTGAGCGATTTATTTGAACCAATCATAAGCGCCAGTTTGGTGTATGTAGATTTTAATGCATCATCACTAAACAATGTCATGGATAGAGTGTGTATAACTTTAGTGATTCTAATTTTTCGTATGTTGTCAACATAGAAATTATGCTATTTAAACTACTTTCATCTACATCACATGACTTCATGAAAAAGCTTAGCGAATTTTTTGTGATGGAGTTGCGAAAATGATCAGAAATATTTTGAATTATGAAACCAGTAATATCAAACATGTTTAACGATGTACATTCTCCAGTAATATTCAAAGCGATTAAAACATTCATTCATAGTCGTTCTTTGCATCCACTTTGCAACTCTTCGATATTAGTCGACTCGAGAAACAATGTTGCATATAGTTCATATTGGTGCTCGTTCAGCTTTCTTTCATTCTCTTCTTGATCGTTGTCATTTGCAATAGTATTTGTTGACTGTACACGTGTGATCACTTTATGAAAAAATTCTTTACATTTACTCTGTTCAAAATCACTGTAGAGAAGAATTAATGTTCGCAAATTGGGATTAGCACGTAGAGCATCAGCGAGAGTTTTGGCACCTTCGAAAGAGAGATATGAATTGGAGCTGCGACAAAGAGATTTCGTTGTAGACAACATTTTTGCGATTGTCTTCATGGTATTATCACATAATTTGCAATAGTTGAGCGAATGTTTTTCTAACTCGAAACTGACATGTTATCATGAGAACTGAAACAAAATATTGTCCATATTGAAGTTTTCTATTACTCTAGACTTCAATACTGAAAAGATTAATACGGTGCAGAAATTATTTTTAAAAATTTGTTTTTCACAGGAAGGGATCTTCTAATGTCTTTTACGCCATTTATTCAAGAGAAGTCTTCTTTTATGAAGATTTTCTAATACAGGAAGGTCTTCTAATGTGTTGATGGCTTTAAACAAAAACTATTGCTATATTGTCCGCATTTCTTTTGCTGCATAATGTGTGCGTATATATTATAAATGTATAAATGTCAATGAAGTGTAAAATAGAAGTGACGATCCTTTTAAATGATCTGGGTAGTTGAAAAGGCGGTACTTGTCTGGTTTTGAAATGATCTAATTATAGGATTTTGTCCATTTCCTATGGGATTAATATTATAATGAGTTACAATATTAAACTTTACTGTTATAAAGAACATTTTCGTCCTATTTTCATTAAAAAAAAAGTGCTAATGAATTCTATAAATCATCAAATCATGTGTACATCCAGCACTGATCTATGTGTTAAAATAGACCTTATTTTTAAAAACTTCATATTTCTAACATATAAATCAATATTACATATTTTCTAATTATAGCAATGAATAATTCTAGTTGACTGGAAACGAAATCACTTAATAAATCAATACTTTAACTGCAAGTTTCATTTATAATGTCGCTCCATCTACTTTGAATCATCACTAACAAGGTATAACAATATTTTATACTGTAAAACTCACTTTAAAGAAATATGTAGCATATAATTTTAATGAAATATGTGATATATTTTATTTCTGTATCAATTTGATCTACTAAATCTTCTATTACTATTGGTACAGATGTTACCTTTGTAGATGCATCGGCTGTTGATTCGTTCTCTTTATCATGCTTTGTATTAACAGATTATATACTATCTATATATCCTTTTCTTTTTTATTCACTATTGTTTTATATATAAAATCAAATATGAATCGTTCAATTGTTAGCATAATGGATCTACCCGATGAAATTTTACTTATAATTTGGAATAAACTTAATAAACTGGATATATTCTATTCATTTGTGGGTGTCAATAGAAGATTCAACAAATTGGTTTGTGACGCCATTTACACTCGTTCTGTCGAACTCATAAATAATGACTCGGAAAATGGTAACTGTTTGTTACCTGATCCATTCATCGATCGATTTTGTTTCCATATATTACCTGTAATACAACAAAATATTGAATGTCTTACACTCGAACCACTCTCTATGGAACGTATTCTTCGTGCTGCTGACTATCCTCAATTACGGAAGTTAACTCTTGTTAAATTTGACCAACGGTCAGCATTGCATTATTTCGCTGGTAAGAGAATTATCTGTTCTTTAGTATAGACTGAGATTCTACGATTTGCTTAATTACTTATTGTATAAATTCATTTTAGATGATTCACCGTTTGCTCACCTTTTTAGAAAACAGATATCTCATTTAACAATATCGATTAATCGTACTGAATTGTCATCGTCACTCATTGATTTAAACAAGAACATATATGCACGCATCTTTTCGATGTTTCCAAACCTAGTCGATTTCGATTTTAGTCCCGCTAGTTTCTGGCGAGGACATGCACGCTTGGCGATTTGTAATTTACCTCCAATGACTTATTTCTTACCGAATATTATTAATTTGCATATCAATGTGGACACATTGAATGATTGTATGTACCTTCTGGATGGTCGTCTGACTTATCTACGTACCTTAAGTGTAAGAATTGATAATATTCAGGCCTGCATATTAGATGTTGACAGTACGGTAAAGATACTTGTAACATTTTTCAAAAATATTTATTTAAACAGTATTTTTTATTGAAGTCTTTAACTAAACTGCAGTCATTCTCGCTGACTTCATACAAACATACAAAAATATATGATAGTCATGTTGTGCCTCTTCTTTGTCGAATGATATCTCTCGAACAACTCATGTTATGTCTGACCGTTACTCACCGAACCACATTTGTCGATGGCACTCATTTTGAGAATGAAATTCTTATTCATATGCCACGACTTCAACGATTTAGCTTCAACGTTCATACTTACACTTCTGTCATCAACGAAAAAAATCAACAATCAAATGATGATATTCGACGTACGTTTCTCAATGGAAGATATGATCAAGTCGCCTGTTATGTAGAATATTATTCAAAGAGAAATGCTCGATCTCACGTCTACTCTCTTCCGTACACGATGGATGAGATGCTTCAGATAAATAGCAGTTTTTCTGGCGGCCTGTATTCATATGTCCGTCATTTGTTGGTAATAGATTTTTTACTTCCATTTGAGCATGATTTTTTTCTTCAAATTGGCCAATCCTTTCCATTAATAACTTATCTGAGTGTCATCAATCAACAACCACAAAAACACAAACGATCGAATCAAAATAGTCAAATATCGTCAATCGTAGAATTTCGTCATCTTACTCGGCTCGCGATCGGCTGTGGACATATAGATTATGTGGAACAATTTTTGGTCGAAGCAAATGCACGTTTACCACGTCTTGTTGGATTAGAAATTACATACAACCATTTAGAAACTGTAACGGAGAACTTTATACGTGATGCAACACATCGTAATTGTGCTAAGGTGGAGCATATAAATTTTTTTAAACCAATTGTTCACTCGAAAAACTTTTATCTATATTTTCCTTCTTATAAATAAAGTTTTCTGTTCGTACGCCCAAACAAGCTACACAAATTAAGAATGAATTAATCACTGAGATCGAGAAAAAAGATGAAACAAAGTCAACGGATCAAACACACTAGAGAAAATAAAACTGAATTAAGAAATATGATCGATGTTTTTACGCGGGAACATCAATTACTTTTCTCAATTCGATTTTATTTTCTCTGGCGTGCTTAATCTCTTAAAACGAAACTTAAAACATTCTATTTCCTGGTATAAAGCTTTTAAATCTTCCGAAAATTCATTAATGTCAATGCGAAGATCCACATTCTTCATAACGAGAGACAGTTGAGGTGGAAATGATGGTGTTGATGGAAAAATAAATTTTCCACCACCTAAGTTTTGTGGTCATTTTTCTTTGTTAAACAATGTGCAGAACAAGTTAGAATCTTTAACGTAAATTAGATAATCGTGTTCATTTTGTTGTAGATTTTCATATGGCAGCAGTTTGAATTTCAACATGATGGTGTTCTTTAAAGTGTTTTTCTACGTCTTGAGATATCAATTTTTCTTTTATTGTTGCCAGAGGAAAATCGTACAACAAATGGTGAGAATGGAAATCTGATCAATGCGTACCGGGTGGCAGCTATTGATACTTTTTGTTCTTGTCGAACAGATTGATGATCTTGTTGATTTCTTCCCGAATTTGAGGTTAATTCTTTATCAATTTTTTCTGATTCATGATTTTGCTGGTGTTGACGATTTTGAAATCGTATAGAATAACGAGGATGTCCATTGTGTTATTGTTGATCATAACAAATTTTGTCGTTGTTATTAATATTATTATCATTACGTCTTTTTTTTACTTCTATTGTCAACTGGTATGAAATCATTATTTTCTTCTAATAGTGCACGTATTCTACGATATGGTGTTAGACTCGAAGAGTCTAATGGAAGAAGATTTATTGATGATGGAGCAGGTATACGGTTTTGTTGATTTGACCTTGCAATAAATTGTATATCAGTTTGTTGATCATAATAATAATCGTTGGAGTTCTCCAAGGATATTTTTCTGTTTACTGTTTCATTTGATAATACTGTTGAATATGAATTCTGAGTACCATTATCATTAATTTTTTGTCGATAAGTTTTATTTGAATAATTGTTCATTGTAATTGTTTTTTTTTTGTTCCGAATTTCGGAGCAAATATCAAAATTTAGTAGTCACACGTTAACTGCATGATACAGAATGGATAAATATATGTACGTGGATAGTATATGATAACAAAAAAAAAGCGTCTTATCTTGACTGAATGAAGAGTGAAAGTGAGGTTTTTTAAAAGTTTTCTATCAACTTGAAATTCAAAAACGTCAGAAAAAGCAAAACTATCGGAAAGAATTGAAAATATCACTTTTTGTGCAATTATTATGATAGACTTCATCTTTTTAAATGTACAAATAATCTTCTTTTAACAACCAAGTTCTATCCTACACGCTTGAATTACAAGAAGATACTTCAGATCAAGATATAAAACGTTGAAAACTAGACTTTTTTCGTTAATTGCTTTTGGAATGTTTTCTTTTGATTTAAAATTGATAAAAAAGTTAAGAGAAAATCAGTTCATTTCTCGTTGGATCACTCACACAAGCTCAGAATCTATAATATGTTGCATATACAGATCAACATCAATATGTATTATTTCAATCCCAAATAAAATGAAATTGTATTGTTGCAAAGCTTTCGCTTTCTGGTATTTTTAATTGTTTGAATAGTTTAGATAAGATTTTTTTCATTTGTTTGTTTGTACATGTATTTATGGTTGTTTACAGTTAAATATCATAATAGAATGATACCAATTGATTTTCTTAGTGAAGAAAATGGATAATTGATCATAAATAATTCTATGCTTCTCGAGAACTCAAAATCATTTGGTAAAAAAAAAAATATTAAAAAATAGATTTGAGTTCTTCTATCACTATTGAAGATATTTAAAAAAAAATGAATTAGATCTATATATATGTATGACAAAGTGACCGACATTGACCCTGTGATATTTTCACTCCACTGCATTCTTCTCCCTGGTGACATGCACAAAAATTGAACTTTTCGAAATAAAACAATCAGTTTGACCTGATTCACTAAACTTAAACTATTTAGATAAAATAAATGATTATCTGTGTCACATTTTATGTTCTTCCTTCTCTTTCATATTATATAGATTTTTTTTTCTTTTCTGTCGTCTCCTTTATGAGATACAGGTATTCTTTTCACTATTTTTTCTCTCTTCATGCTTGTTGATTTTTTGCTATCTTATTTACTATCATAAGCTGTGACATCGCGTCTGTGTCTATATAAGGTAAAGATTTCAACATAGATAACATTCGATCATACATTCATCTTTTTCAATCTTTAGAGTTAGTCGCTTGAGAAGTTCTTATACTTTCACGATAGAATCGGATAAATTCGAATGAGTTGATAATCTCAATTTATACTATATAAAACTCTTATATTTATCTAGGTCCACTTGTTTTTTTCCTATTTCTTGAGTAATTGTGTAGGTTTTTGAAAAAGAGATGTGAGTTTTTCGTTAATTGTAAATAAAGAGTAATATAATATCATTTGTTAAGCTCACAATAACCATATGAGAAATTAACAAATAATCACAAAATTTTTTGCTTCTTATTACTTTCATTTTGTAACAGAATCATATGCATCTTGTAGATCTTAGTGAACTATGTCTACAAAAAAAAAAAGAGTTCGTACCAATAGTTTATGTCTGTGAAAATAAAATGTTTCTAGTGAATTTAGTTTGTTTGATCATGCATTTTCGATTTTCGACCTAAAACTTTGTCCACTTAAAGATCTCAATTAGACTAGGTTGCATAAAAACACTTTTGGTTTTTCACAATATATCTCTTCAACATACGAAACTTTCAAAAAATACATACAGTATACATTATCTATAGAAGCTAGTTTGACTGACATCTTTATACGGATATGCTCTTCTGTAAATGTGAAATCCTACTGTCGAAATTCACTAAAAATGTTCGATCTCATCAAAAACAAGTCATGGTCACGAAGTCTTTTTATGGGAGGCATACACTACTGGCTAAAAGTATCTTCTTCAGATTGATAGGTGACATCCACGGTCCCTGTGAATCTCGTAACTCGAGAACGGATAAGCTTTTTAAGTTGTTCAATATTTTATTTTATAGCACTACATTATAGCTATTTCTGATATAAATTTTACAAAAGAACAGCAAGTTATTGGTAAATTAGACCATTTTTACTGAAAACATCGATATACAAAAATCCATAGAATACCATCGAATTATCAATAACGCAGCATACATTGGATGGGTCCATCTAAAAATTTTAGCAACAGCCTTCAAGAAATTATCAGAACTCTGGAGACTCCATTATTCAAGGAAATGTGGTCATCTTTTGAATAATGTAGAATCATCATTTAGGATACAATTTCATGCTGGAAGATTAAGAATTATTCATATTTGTCAAGATTTCACTAGAAGAATCGTTTTGGACAGTTCGAAATTCTTAGGAAACCATAAAACCTAGATGTCTTCACCAAAATAATTTAAAGTGTGGAAGTCTTAAAAACATAATCTTTCTATAACATTATGGAGACCGTATTCTTATCTACCGTAATTCGATATGAAGTTCACATGAAGAACTCTATGAATGTCAATAACAGGATGATTTCCGTTGTTTCATAAAATTCTAAAACCATTCAAAACAATTTTCTTAGTCAAATCTTGACAAATGAAGACAATCGCGTTTTTTGGAAGAAAAATAGCAAATACAAAAAGAAATTTACCTATTCATATGTTGTTATTTATATAATATATGAGTAATTATCAATCTTTCAACATAAAATTATAGTCCAACTTATGGTCATTCATTGCTAAAAAGATGATTCCATTTGCTTATGTAATAGAGACTTCAAAGTTCGAACAAGTTCTATTGTGAAACATCTTCTTAAAATGTTAGATTGATCCACTAAACGTTTGCTGAGTTATTCATCATTCAATCGTATTCTATAGTTTTGTTTTTTTGCATATCCATGTTTACTTTTTTACGAGTAGTGTAATTCACTAAGGTCTATAAGATGTACTAAGTTTTGATTCTAAAGCAAATGTAACAGCTGGAGATGTTTCTTCGTAAGTTACATATCAAATGTGGCAAAGGTTCATCACTGTTGATAGTAAACGTACATTTTGTGTTTGAAGAAGATATATCTTTTCTATAATAGATAAAAAAGTTGTGACCAAAACTTTATTTTTTGCCACATATAGTCTTATTGTTTTGTATTAAAAAAGTAATTTCCGAAGTGTACACATAGAAACTAAGGCGAAAAAAGTGACAATCCCACACTTCACATGGTTAACTAGCGTATGAGGGCGGTGGTAAATTATTATTACGAATATAACGGGGATAGTTTTAACCTTTTATGAAAAAAGAAAGATAGAATACAGGTAAGGTTTGTCCCAAGTAATCGGTAAACATTGCTATTTTGACGTCATGGGTGAAAAAACAGAGTCACTTTATTAGTAGGGACTTTATCAGGTGTTTGATTTAAATATAAATCAATGCTTGATACATTTTAAACTTCAGTTTAGATCTGAATCAATGGCTCAATTAACCTTACCACTTCGTATAATTGCTCAACCAAAAGCATCATATCGTGAAAGATATACATGTGAAATAGATCGTCGTCGTAATCTATCACAACGTTTTATTCGTGCTGAAACTAATCCAGATAATTTGGACTATCCAACAATAGAAGTAAATAAACTTTAATATGTTTTTTTTTTCTTTTCATTTATTTTTAACATGATTGTTAACTAGATACCAAAACAATGGGATAGTCACAAGTTATATATTCGTGTAACTTTAGTCACTGTATGTAGTGAACAAGTACCTGTGACATACATACATCCTTATCCAATTGATACATCAGAATTAAATGTTATAAAAGACGTAGAAAGAAATGCACTTTATTTTCCAACATCAGAAGAAGAATTAAAGAGTGGTCGTAAAAGGTAAAATGCAAAAAAGAAAAATGTTTTTGCTAAATAGCTTATTTAATTATTTTATTGAATTTAGTTTTCGAATTATGCGTAGAAAATTAGCTCAATATGAATTAAGAAATTATGGAAAATTATGTCCTTTGGATACAGGTAATGAAATAAATTCAAAAACAAATCCTATTTAATAATTTATTTTTATTTTATAGATGAAAAAGATATTTCATGTGCAACTAATCTACATAATGCTCGAAGAATAATCGATACTTATCAATTAGGAAAATCGCAATTACTTTTTTCAATAGCTGAACTAGTTTCTGATGATCTATCATTTGATATCTATCACAAAACATCTGTATATTCTATTATAATGACTGCTAATACATTAACACATATAAATAATGACGAATCATTTGTTAGATGTGTACCAACGAAAGGTCACTGGAACGGTGGTGATGATATTTTAATGATTATTCCAAAACTTGATAAGAGAAAAGGTAATTTTATTATTATTTTGTTTATTGTTGTTTAATTCAATTTTTTGGTTTTTCTTTTCTAGCATGTCAAATATATTTTGAATGTCCGTCATCAAATAAAAAAGATCTGATTCCTTTCGAATTTGTGGATATGAAAACAATTGCATTCACAACTCCATCATGTCCTATACAAGCAAATGGAAATCAAAGTATAGAAATTCCTATAGTTGTTCATCAAAATGATAACGAAATTGCACGTGTTAATTTTCTTTATCAATCATGTAAATATCTTTGTTTCTTTTCATCGAAAGAATATTAAAATTTTTCTTGGTTTTTTTTTTTCTTTAGATAATCAATGTTCAAATTGTGATATTGATTCTATGCTATTCGATTATTTCGAGTCATCAAATAGTGATGAACAATCTTCATCATTAGATTTGTGTTTTAATGACGCTGATGTTTCTTTGTACGCTCATGACCTGCTTTATTGTGATCTATTAATCTAAAATTATAAATTTCATTTAAAATGATCAGAATGTAAAAAGTAAAAAATAATCTTTTCTAATGGCAAAGTATTCTACACTATGCCGATCGTTTTTTTTTAACGTCGAGTAAAGCTTATTTTTTTAATAAAACTAAATTTTTCGAAAAAATGTGCTTCCATGTATATTGGGTGAATCCATGGGTATTCAACCACTTTTTGAAAAAGTTTTTTTTTAATCGAATTGTATGTGCTGGTTCGATAGAAGGTGGACAGAATATAGCTTTAGTCCAAAAAAAAATGGTCGCATCTATCCAACATACTGTAGATTTGGATCGTTTTCTAGGAACATCTAAACCTTCAAAGGATTCCTTTTTTTCAATGTATTATAGCTAAGATACAAGACTTTTAAGAAGCACGACTTTTGCAGTATTTTGATCAAAAACACTTTTCTTACAGCAAATGCGTAGTAGTATTCTATAAAAGTCTTGTATCTTGGCCATAATATATTGCAAAAAAAGAGTCCTTTGGAGGTTTAGATGTTCCTAGAAAATGATCCAAATCTCCAGTATGTTAGATAGATATGACAAGTTTTTTTTCAGCCAAAGCTGTCTTCTATCCACTTTCCATTGAACCAGCACATAAAATTCGATAAGAAAAAAATTTTTCCAAAAGTGGTTGGATGTCCATAGATTTATCCTATCAAGAAAGGATGAATATTTCATATAACTTGGATTATTATTATTATTATTTTTATTATGCTAGAGAATGTAACACTCGGAAGTGTCTACATGATAATAGAAAAAGAAAATTGAGAACTTTAAGCCAAAAACAACATCACTAGTGCAAAATGTTTCGCTGTTTGCTATCAATATAATTGTGACGAATATTAGATCACGCTTGTAAGGATATTAGGAAGTATATAAAAGAGGTTAAAGAGAGGAGAAAGAAAAAAAAATATGAAAAAGGAAAAAAGAAAGGAAAAGGAAAAAATATGAGAGAGTGAAGAAACAGAGCAATAGTGAAAAAAAACCGAAAAAAAAGGATTAAAACATTACATGTGCTCGTTCTTTTGTATTAATTCGTTTCAACAAAAAATAACCCTCTTAAAAGAAATTACTCGTGTCGATCTAACAATTGACGCACACGGCGCATACAATAAAAAATGACCGAGATGATCGTTTTTTCCTTTTGTAGAATTCATCCCAAACGAAGATATCATTATAGAAAAGTGAGGATCCAAGGTCCGTCAAAAGAATTGTCCTCAATCTGCTTTGAATATATTTTTTAACATAGAACTTCAAGGGATATTCTGAAGTAATAGTATAAGGATTATCTGCAGACACGAAGGGACAGCGATACACTAGTCGAAGACCTACACGAAATTTTTATTGCAATATTTGTTGCTGTGTTTCTGGAAGCAGAAGATAAAAAGGAAATAATCATGCAAAATGTGGTAAGGTAAATGCAAAAAATCATTGGCGAAGCGCTTTAGACGACATACTTCGTCCAGCTTTTAATCACCTTAGTTTACCTAGGGATCTCTGGATATTCCCAATGCATTTTTCGACAGTGGATCTCAAGGATAGTTTATCAGTCCAAGTGAATCGCAAATACTTAAATTCTTTAACGAATTCAATTTTTTCACCATTCATTGTTATATTTACTACTGGTCTTTTTACTTGTGTATAAAACAACTGCGCTACTGTTTTCGATATATTTATCGGTTGTTTCCATTTTTTCGAATACGCATATACTTGATCACAAATTCGCGTACCTTCATTCTCAAGATATTGGATCATTAGAGTTAATTTCTTCATAATAGGTGATGTAATAAGTATACTAAGATCATCTGCGAAAAGATGACCTAAATGAGCTCCGAGGCAGTTTATTAGATCACAGTGGAACACAATAAACAAGCATGAACTGAGACTACTACCTTGAGGAAGTTCTATATGTATATCGAATATTTTTGATGTTTTTTTCGTCAAAAGCTATATACGCTCTTCTATCTTTTAACCAGCTAACGATTATTTTCAGTAGGTCTAGTGGCATACACAAACTCCACAATTTAAATAGGAGGGCGGCATGCCAGACACGATTGTACGCCTTCTGATAGATCGATAGTACTCGATGGGAAGGAGACATTTTGGACGGAATCCTGATTGTTCTATAGGTACTAAATGATTACTTTCAGACCAATGTCTAATTCTTTGAAGCAGCACTTTTTCAAAAACTTTTGAATGTGTTGCTAACAAGGAAATTGGACGTGTTTGATCACATTTAGGAACTCATGATTTCAGTGTGTTAAGAGTTATTATCTTTGCTAGTTTCCATTCCTCAGGATATCCACCTTCACTCAACCACACATTGAAACATTTTGCCAGGCAGTCAATATAACCGAGAGGAAGTTTTTTAATCATGAAATTCAATACTAAATCAAAACCTGCCGACTTTTTCGGTTTCAGCGTCTTTATTAATCGATGAATCTCAGCCATACTAGTTTCTTTCACTCGTTTATCAGTGATCAATAACTTATCTAATAATTCGTTATATTCAGATTATCTGTTAATGGACTATTCCATTCCTTCACTGTAGCGTTAAAATCATCCGTCAGAATAGTACCTTCTACTACATATGGAAGAATATCATCAAGATCACGTTGTTGACTAGTGGGCCAATAAATACCAATAATACGCATTGGTTCTGAGAGGCCTGTTATATTGATAATAACTGTTATATTTGATGTAATGTTGTAAGTGACGGCTGGCGGCATGAACGAGACCTCACAATTAAATTGAAATCCATCATTTAATCTGATAGAGGCTAAGTGAAAACGATTGTAAAACTGTTGTGCGACTGATATCAAAGATACTCGATTGACTCGACTAGAAGTTAGTAATGGAGGTATAAAATATTGAATAAAGTCCTTCATTGTAGTAATGACCATCGAACAATACTGCTTGATGTAATTGTGTATCAAGTGTAGCAGTTTCCAAATCGGCTTTTAGTTGATCCATTTTTTCTTCTACTCATTTGTTACTATCTAACAATTTCGACAATTTATTATTGATGTTCTTCAATGCTTTTTCTGTGGTTACTACGTTTGTCGTATTAGGTCGACTTGCTATATGATTTTGTTCGATATTCCATTTCCTAGGCTGATGGTTATCGACTGTTTTTAATGTTGGAAATTCTTGTTCATGTAGTTCAAAATCTGGTACTTGTTCTTTTGGTGTGAATCGATGGAGTTTACCACTATTAATCGCTTCTTCAACATCTTCTTTTAATCGCTGCTTATAGTCTCTAATAACTTGACATTGATTATCAAGTGAGTGATGTTTCCCATTACATTGAGCACACTTCAGTTCATTTTTACAGACATGTGAAGAATTATCTGTAAGAATCTCAAGACATACTCTACATCTGACCGATACATTACATTTGTTTCTTAAATGCCCGATACGCCAACATTTGGTGCAATACATTAAGCGATTACCAGGAAAAACAGGAGTAATCGATAACCATGAATGACCTATTGCGATACGAGCCAGCTTTAACACAGAATTGTATTCTTGACGATCTTTTACATCGAACCGATAATCATTCGATCTTCTATGATAGATGTACTGAATTCATTTTATACGATCAGCCGATACGATTGTACGTTGTATCTCGTTTACAACAAATTCTTCATCTAGTTCACGTGGGACATATCGAACTACGAGTACAAATGAATCTGGAATGAATTTCGGTTTTATAACTTCAATATTGATTCCATTGATCTTAGTAGGCTATTTATCGATAGCGGCGAGAGTTGCATAATCGTCTTTGTTATTTACACCTAGTTTTAATTTTTTACTAGCCCAACCAACTAACGTAAATGGATTAATTTTAACTCCGTTCGTTTGTAATTCTTTAAATATTAGATTACTTGCATGTAATAGCTGATGGAATATCATTCCGATCTGCATCCGATACCCATTGTACATGAAAGCACGGCAGATTAGATGAAACAGCATGTTTCAGTTGATCGAATGAGATACGTTTACGTTGATTAACATTTTGATCTGAGGCTTGTTGAACATTAAACGACGATGGAATCGACTGTTGTTGAAATTGTGCCGTACTCTGTTGTGCAGCATTAATATTATTTTCGAATGGATGGAAAAAGACAGAAAGGAAAAATGTCGAAAGGAAAAATATCGAAGAAAAATAGAACGAAATGTCGAAAAGAAAAACGTCGAATGGAAAAAGAACGAAAAGAAAAATATAGAAAGAAAAACATCGAAAGGAAAAATGTCGAAAATATCGAAGGCGAAGAAGTAGAAAAGAAAGCATTAATATTAAGCTACCGTTTTAGAGCGACAAATAAAACATTAACGTTTTAGTAGCATTGCCCTCTTTTGTATTTCTACTTCTGAAATGTCGAACATACACCAAGTGTTGAAATAAATCCATTTTCAAAGCGTTTTATTCACGAATACCGTAGTATTCCAAGACGAATCGGTTGGTTTCACTTACTGCAGATAAAATGACTACTTTTTCTAATCGGATCAATTTACTTTAGCAAAAAAATTCATTTTAATGATAAGCAGAGTTCATATTTCAACTAAACAAAAACATCAAATACAACAGGTTGCTGTCGATATGAGAACAGGAAATATGTTTCAAAGTTAAATAAGTATATATATAGAATCCTAGAGACAAGCAAATTGAATCTGAGGAAATGAAAATTCGAACGTTGTAAGAGCAATACAAGAATGTGTTAAAGAGATTTTCCTAGTATCCAAGTATTCAACGTGGACTCGTTAAGCTCATATTTGAGACAACAGTCTATCACATTTCAACCGCCATGGACCGAAATAGATAATTACAAATTCTTGGTTTTGATTGAGGAATTACTTATTCACACTTATTTATTGAATAATGCAAAGCAGTTTCAAATACCTATCACCTTCAACTCCCTACTTTTTGAAATGCCAGAAACTTGCAAAATAACATAAATTTATTTTTCATTCACGCAACGAAAGCTATTATATCTATGCTCACGATACTATCGGTGCAATTTCATTAGGCTTTTTGCTATAAATATTGACTTTGAGAAAGCCGAAGTCTTCAATGGTCAATTAGTACATAAACCATTGAAGATGAGTGGCATGCATTGACGTATTTTCTTCCCTTATTCAGTAGTCTTATTTCTGATACGATTCACTTCCAATTAATATAAAAATAATATCTTTTTGATTCAACACACTCTTTTTTCAATACTTTTCTTTCTATATTTTTCCCTTTCGATATTTTTCCATTCGATATTCTTCTTTCTGCATTTTTTCGTTCTATATTTTTCCATTCGTTGATTTTCCTTTCGACATTCTTCTTTTCTATATTTCTTTTCGACGTTTTTCCTTTCGACATTTTTCTTTTCTTTCTTTTTCCATCATACCTTATTTTCTTTATTTTGTTGAAATCTTTTTCGTAGACGTTGCTGTCAGTCATTTCCATTGTTAGAGGATCCACCACTATCATCGAGTGGATGATCGTGTTTGGGAGTGGAATTAATAGGTTGATTGAATTGTTGTTGATTCGAATGATTTTTTTGAAGATGCTTCTGCACATTCAATGCTATTTCGGGACATTCTAGCAAGAATTTAAATATTTGGTCCACTTGAACATTTGATATACCTTTCTGTTGTTGATTCAGATATTCGTCATTTATTCGATGACCGTTTTTAAGATAGTTATTAATTTCTTCCATCATCACTCTCTTGTTGGCGTAGAGAGGATGACGTTAAAAGAATGTATGTAATAAACTAAAAAATGTGTCTGTTCTTCTCGCAGTAAAAAGGGGGAATGAATAACTTGGATTATTATGGAGAGAGTTGAAGTAGATATATTTCAATAAATTATTATAAAAAAGAAATCTCATGCCAAAGACATGACTTTATATATTGCTATTTACTAATGGTAATATCCATATTGATCATGACTCATATCTCTAGGGAAATAAATAATGAATCATGTTGACTCATATGTTATCAAGAAAACATTACATGTTGAAAACATCTATGAGCAGAATTCATCAAAAATTGAAATTTAAAATATAATCGAAACTGATTCTAATATAAATAAGAGAATTATCGATATATTTGTTGAACATGATCAATGTCATGTGTGTTAACTATTATATAAGACAAAATAAATATCAAATTAAATATTGAACAAAATAAAAATGAAATATTATTATTCTTATCTACTTGAGTTATTAATAATTATTTCTAAGTAGAATATTTGAATATATAGAATCTTAGACATAACCTATTTACTGGCATTGATGATAAAAGAAAAAAATGATCCATTTCTTGTCATATGATATTCTCTTGTTTTTCTGTTCTTCACATTTTTTTTAAATTTGACTGACGAAGTGTTTCGTTTATGCTAATGCAAATAAGAGACATCAACTCACATAATATTATTGTGTTAAAGAAAGAAATTTCTCGTCACAACCTATATTGAAATAACTGTAAATAATAAAATTATTTTTCAAATCTCATCTTCCATTGCAAAAAAATGAATCCTACATATGGTGTACGTGGTCTTGGAAACACATACATGTTAATAGATTTGTAGAGTAGATTATTTCATGAAATATTTCCATTTTTTAAATTTTGAGTCTACTCTGCACCATGAAAAACAGAATGACTGATTGATGATGTCCTACTGAATCGAGGATAGAATGAAGAAAACTGTCTGGTGACATCCTCTAGTCTGTACACTTGCTATAAGTAATTTTCTTTTTTTTTCTCATAAAACTTTCGACAAAATTTTGAAGCTTACAAGGGAATTTCACCAAGAAATGAATCACTTTTAAGTTGTGGCTATGTGCATCATGTACACCCCAATGAGTTATGAATACTGCGAAAAGAGTTCAAGCCTATAGGTTATTGCTGTGGACATATTGTACTTTTGCGATATTTTTTCAATATAATACCATAGTCTCGCTCAAGAATACCAGAAAAATTGATTTTTCGAATTTTGATTTGAAACTTAGGTGTGGATGGGTGTGATATTCCTCTTGTGTCGTCCAAGGCAACACCCATACCCATACCCTACATTCCCTGTACTGCAAAAACTTTGCTTAATAATAGTCCGCTTACATGCTGTAATAGCAAAGAAAAATGTTATGGCTGTTGTGTTCAACGTTTCCCTATTCATCTAATAGAACTTAAATTATATTTAGTAAGAGTCAAGTATGTTATATAAAAGGTATTGTGATACTTGATCTGAATAACATACGCTGAATATTCTGTCTTTGTCAAGCTCAAACGTGAATTGTAAATTTATTTTGGCAAATTATTAAAATCGATTGTGTCGAGTGCAATATTATATTTCTTCAGGGAAAAAAAGAAAACGGGTTGAATGACATATTTCATAGGGAGAAAGTAAGGAGCGTACAGGATTGATAAAAAATGTTTTTGAATAGATTCGAAATTGAATCCTTGAATAGAATTATGAAGCCGATTGAAGTAATTTTTTACCAGCTTCGATAGCCAATTGATTATTGGCATCCGGCCCACCCAATTTGGCGATAAAATTCGCGAGTTCAGCGCGACGTCGTCTGACTGCCTGTTGATAGGAACTTTTTCGTTCAGCGACAAGGCTGAGAACTGCAGCTTGTGTGTCTCTCGTGTTGGTGTTCAATTCGGCCAGGAACTGATTTCGCTCGTCGTCGTCGGCCGCAGTAAGCATTCTCGAGAGACCAGCAAGACGCTGCATGATGAATCTGGTCGACATGTCGTAGTAGGTTCGAGCCATTGTATAGAGCATACCCGATTGAGCTTCGATGTCATCCGCTTGGGCTTTGAGAATATCGACGTAGAAGAGTCGTTCATCCAGTGAGAAGTCTTCGCTTCCAGCTTCACTTGCTTGAGTGATAAATGGATTAAGCGTTCCACTAAGAATGATCTCAGCTTTAGTAGCAACTTCAGCAAAGAACAAGACAAGCTGACCCCATTGTTCTCGAACACGGGCCAGAAGACGAAGAGCTTCACGCAATAATTCAATCAATTGCTTGTAATTAACTTGAGTCATATCCAATGTAGCGATTTTGCCCATTAGTTTGGCTAGATCTTCTTGATTCTGTTTCAGATGTTCGAAGATTTTATCATACCGAGTTTCAGCATCCCGTAGTCGAGTTATCGCTAATTGGGCCGCAAACTTTTCATTTTGTGAGCTGTCACCCGAGCCATGCTCAGATGCTGGTGCTGCCGGCACTTCAGCACCACTCATGCTCTCTGCTGCTGCCATGGGTTTGGCTTCTTGGACCAGTTCATTGACACGATTTTCAAAATCCTTTGCAACTTGTGGGTCAATCTTTTCGCCACTTCTTGCAGCATTCTTGACTTGATTCGATACTTCCTCGAACAAATCAACACCTCGTTTGATAAGACCACCAGCCTGTTGCTTTAACGGACTTTCTTTTCCCGATTGCATTGATGACAAAAATGTTTCGAATGTCACCTTGTAAGCTTCTAATTCTTCGAGGGGATTTTTGGACTCCGAATTGTCATTGGCACCTGTTCTTAGAATCTCCTTCACTCGTGGAGCAACTTGATTCAAACTGTTTGAGAAGAGTTTACCAAATGTCAATGCTTGACCTGTAGCTACACTTCCGTCCCCTGTACTCATGAGACCTCCAAGAGCACCCATGGCAGTGCTTATACCACCAGTCGCCACTCCCATCCCTATGGGTATAGCTGCCTTAGCGAGATTTTTCCCAACTTCTATAGCTGCATTTGCACCTGCCTTGACAAGACCGATCACAGCACGGCCCAAATCAAGCAAGAGAGCTTTGAATCCGGTCGGAATTCGACTTAAGGCGCGACTATATTCGGATTGTGCTTTTTGAACTGCATCTCGGGCTTCAGTATAATGAGAACGAATCGTTTCACCCACTTTAGTCAATTCGATTTGCATGATTCGTGAGGCATTCAATTCGATTTGAGTTTGTCGTAACCCTGCCTCAGCATATCCACGTGTCGTCTCCGTTGATGAAATAACTTCACCGATCAAGTTCATCACGTCAACAAAGGCAGTGTGCGTATTGTTTGCCCAGGTCACACATGATTTACCGAGACGTTCAATTTCTCGCAATGTAGTCGGTAACAATCTTGAGATGATTTTCGTCGTTGATCGTCGAGATGCCAATACTTCGAGTGCTATTTGCACTTGTTTGGGGACGCGCTCCATCGACTGTTGAATTCGGTTCATATTCATATGAGCCGCTAGAAACGCTTGCCAACCATCTGAAGGGAAATAGGGAATATTCAGATGATTATAGACCCACTAATATTTAAACTCGATGTTAATTACATTAGAGAGAAGATTCGAACGATCGCTTGAATCACCTCTTGAAAACATCTATCCAGTGTCGGTGAATCTATTTCTGGATAAGAGAAACTATTTTCTGTCTCACAAGTACTACCCGCGCATCAAAATCTTTTCTTGCTCAAACTGGACAAAGTTCAACAAACACTGTATCGTACGACTTTGAAAAAGTGAAACGCAAAGATATCGCATCCCGATATTTCAGTACAAATGACGAGCGATCGCGCAAGGATAAACGGTAGATCATAAATATTGATCGAAAAGCATCAAAATGACTTGAAAGTGTAGAAGAAAACATTCAATCGATTATGGCCACAAACATCATGTCCAATCGAGAAGAAGCATAGTTAAAAAGAGATAGACATCGTTTCGAATCGCTTCGGAACAAATCTAAACAGTAGTAATTTGCAGAAAAATCGTGATGACTCAATCATTCTAGATGATTGCAAGTAAATTTTAATTGTTTCTTTTGATCTTGTGAATCTGTTCCTAGTTTTGACCCGTTTTCAATCATATCTGATGATATCCATTCACATCAATTCAACTCAAATTAATTGAAATCAATGCGTCAAAAGTACAAAAAAATGAAACTTAACCTAAACCTCGACTCTGAATAAAACCATTGTCAATTTAACTGGAGGTCGACTTGAGCCTGGTCTTCAATATTTATGTCCGATCAACTTCTTTAGTTCATCAGCAAATTTGTTTTTTCATCGAACTACCTTTGACACTAGTTATTGACTGTTGTAATGATACTATTCGACAATGATCAAATTTAGTCGGGTTGTGGATTCGTATCGCAACTTCAATTCATGTCGAAAAAATTCTACTGATAGAGAATGTTTCGTATTTCATGAGTCGACTAATTCAAATTCGAATATAAGTGGAGGTCAAACAGCCTAAACTGAATTCAGATATACGGATATTCAGACATGTTGCACTACATGAGGGTGCTGCAAGAGACTGAACAGTGGGCCACAGCTTATTTGAAAGTGTTGCGAAAGACTAAGTAGTGCGCATGCATAGTTACCGAATGACTATTTGAATACCTCAGCCGTATGGAATATGTGAATATCTTATCAAGATCTGAATATCTAAATCCAGATTTCAAGTTTGACTCTTTTGAGACTCATGGGATCTTTTATGTTTTTGGAAGATGCGTCTCTATCTCTGTGGTAAACAAAAATGTATCATGGTAACTGAATAAAGTTAGTAGTGATGAACCAAAGAAGGTAATAAGTTTTAACAGTGTCTATTGCTGGATTTTGACTCATTCGATCAAATAGATTCATAAGACTATTCCAGACAATTTTCTACACGTTCAAATGTCATGTACTGAAGAATTGTCGTATGTAATCCATCGCGAGCTTCATTTTTCGATTGACGACTTCAGTGCCTGTTCAAGGAAATGCATGGGAATTCGTTTTCGGGTCATTTTCATCTTCTATGGAAAACTATTCGAATTGTTAGCGTCTGCCTATTTCCTATACAGATCAATTTGTCTACATGTTTCTTGTCGATTTCGAAAGACTTTTCAGTAACTCCGATTCAGATTCGATTGAATAAATCAATTCAGTCATTCAGTCACATCAGTTCCTTGTTAAAAATAAGTGTGTTCATAGTATGCTCTTCTGACTGACACTGACTTGGATTAAAATCTATGCGGAACTGAAATCGAAGAATTATCATAGCACTTCCGTGAACTAAAACGGAATAGAAGAGTCGGTTTTGTAGCTTACCGTTCGAAATTTGAGTCAGCGTAGCTCGAAATGACTGCGGATATCGCATATAGATAAATGTGTAGTTAGTTTGATATTCACGAAAAGAGAAATCTAGCTTGCTCGAAATCACCATCAGTTGACCCAGAAGATTGACAGTCATCGGTCCATGGACGATGAACTGTTCCCAAGGTAGGTCCATGTCCGATTGCGAAACAAGAGCCGCATCAGGATCTCGAACAGCGATGGCATCTAAATAGGTCACAGTGGCATAATGAGTTCGCATTGGAAGAAACAAAAGCGACTAGTTACTTGAAATATTTTCAGTTTTAGTGACGGATCTATGGAAACGAGTTCGGGCCCATATGTCAATACCTGTATGAAAAGGTTGATGAAATCTGTTTGCTACTGTATCATCAATCAGAAGTAGAGCAACTGAAATTAAAATATGATATCTCGAAAAATCATTCACAACTATATTGATTGAACTTACTCATTATCAGGAACATGTTGAAGAGTGAATTATTCTTCAGCAACATCTACAATGGCACAACAGACGGGCCAAGGAAATCAACTTTTCTCCTGAAGATAATTCTAGTCTATTGAAGTAGCGTCGATGACGAGACACAATGAAATATGATTCAAGTTGAGAAAATAGAGTAAAACTATTCATCAATTCCCTCATCAATGGACTTTGTCAAGATGTGCGATTCGGTACTCTCGATGGTCAAATCATTTCCGATGAAAAAAACAATGGTGATAATGTTTTCAACGAATAAAAACGTGAGTCGATTTTGGATCGAAATCCAACAGTGAAGTTTCAATTTAGTTTCATTTTAAGATATAAAAGATTTGCGATAACTCTCTGGCATTTATCTCAACTCAGTTCATTCGATGGAATTTCTTCGAAAACGAATGTTTGACAAGTTCAAAGATATTTGTTTCCTTTATGTAAAGTAAAACTTGAACATCGTCAGGTGACAATTGTTCACGATTCTTCGAAAGAGTTATTCAAATGAAAAATCGAACAAAAGTGGATTAAAAAATGCTCCTCCTACAATCACCTTTGTTACCAGGGATCAAAAGAATATAAAGAATTGGGTGACTAGAGATATTTTCGAATAGTTTTTCTGATGAATATCAATACCTTTGTTCTGAAAATCGAGGTTCTTTCCGCTCAAATCGTTTACTCAGTTCTACATACTACTTAAAACCAAGGATAGCTCGATATTCATCGCAAAAATATTTGATTTTTGAGACATAAACTTGGTAGTTAATTAAGTTCACTAGTCCAGTATCATATCTATGGCATGGAGACGCGTCGGAAGAGTTTTACAATATGAAACTAACGTCGAACTATGTTTATTTCTCCTAGAAACGAATAGTTCTGTCATGTCGATGCGATAATCTAGTTTTATGAAGTAAATGTTTCGCTGTAATATTATGCTCCTTCGATGTGTGATTCGAAATTAATGGACTTTTATTAATTCGCATAAAATACTCAGTTTCCTTTGCTCATAATGAAATTCGATTAGTAATGGTTTTTTTTTTAATTTTGATAGGTAGCCATAATGAAATGCAGTATAGGTAATCGATTAGAAAAATAAATGCAACTCTTCCGTCCATAAATGAGCTGATTACAATTCAAATTGAAGACTGAACTTCCCTTTCTCTGCAAAACCAATCGATTACAAAAATCTCAATAATTAATGCAGTAAATCATATTTTCTCCTCCATCTATGCCAATATTAATCCCGATCGATTAGAAACTGCAGTTCCACTCACCAATCCGAATCTTGATCAATATTTATCCTTCAACGAACAAGAATACTTTGCATATTTTATCATTCATTTATACCTGATTTATTTGTAATCGATGGACAAATATTTGCAGTCGATGAAATTAATCCTAGAGCATCTTACATTTCTACTGTTCGTTTATAACGGATTTTTCACTGCTACGAACTTTTTATCGAATACTAGTTCATCAGTGTTAGTCAGTAAGCATAATATGAACTGAAACAGGATGCGGGTGTGGATGTGAATAGTACAGTTTGACCCACACTCACTGAATAAAATTCAAAAAATAAAATTAATCTCACGTATTATGCCCGTTGATATTTACCGATACCATTTTCATTTTTACCAGTAAATCGTATTGCTTTGATCCTTACTATTCCAATCAGAGCACAGTAGCCGCAGCATGATTGCAATGAAAACATGGTCGATGTTTTTCATTATGTGTCTTCAGCGAATTTTTTTTTGTCAATGTGGAATCGGTTGGAAAGAACATTTTTGTCATATTAAACTGCACAATGAAGATAAATGTTGGGTGTGGATGTGGATGTGTTGGGGTCTGCGTATGGTTGATGAGAAAGCCGACGTTCACACCCACACTCTAACAGACAATAAATGTTTTCCTTTTGCATGGTTCATTCGTTTCACTGAAATTTTATAATCTGCTCTGTACTTGTAAAGAAAATTTCCAAGAAGAATGTTATAACAGAAAAAATTTAGAACAAAGTGGATGTGCATGTTTGCGTCCTCCCTCATCCCACAACCACACCAACATCCTCATCCTTTTTCAAAATTTTTGTCTAGTTTTCAAAAACTAATCTGTATTATTGTTTGAGTATAATAATATTAATTGTTTTGTTTGTTGAGAATTTCAATAATGATAATGGACTAATCAACAATTGAAGATTTCAGTCTTAATATTTTTCATATTTATCTTGTTCTTTGTTAGAATATTCTCAGACATGATAAAGACGTTTCAAAAATTTCTTCTCAAATACTTTTTAGTTTCAAATTGAGAATGAAAAATGGATGAGAATTTTTTTTAAGCCAGTAATTAGCAAACATTTGAGCCTAAAATACGAATTGAGTTCGGCTATCGACTCTTTTTTGCCTATATTATAGAAGCTTGAGCAGATACCGCTTGCATGATGAAACGATAGGGTTGAGCACGTTAAG